ATTTGTTTTTTTGCTAAATTAAAGTCTACAAATTTAGTGGATTGCGGGAGGAAAAATAAAAAATGAAATTCCAAGTGAAATGTTGTATGCCCATATAAGGCTGTTAGTCGGTGCGGGTTCGGTTAGTCGGTTAGCCGAGACCAAAATCAGCCCATTTCCCTCAACCGAAGCCGACACCGAAAGTACCCTCGGTTAACCGGCAACCGAAACCGCCGGTTTCGGTTTGAGCGAGCGGTTAGCCGAAACCACATGAGTCGAGCCGGTTTTCGGTCAGAAACCGCCAATAAACCGACCAATAAACCGATTTCAGGACCTGCACACAGCACACCTGCTGCCTTTTTCCTAAAAATCTGCTGCTGCCTTTTTTCTAAAAACCTACTGCTCTATTATCAAATCAGAACATGAAGTCTAAACCAACCACAATTAAACCACAAGTCAAGTCATCATTCATCACACACCATAAATCTTTTACAAGCCAACAATTCAACAAGTCACAAGTTCACAAATTACAACAAGCCACAAATAAAAAGTTCATTCTCCAAATCATCAACCTAAATTCGGGGATCTCGCTCCAAATCGTCTAGCCCAATGTCATCATTTACTCCAAGATCTTCATTCTCGTCATCAGGATTAACATCGGAATCATATTCAGCAACATCATCAAGTCCATCAACTATGGGGGTAGGAGTAGGAGTAGGATCAACTGAAAAACTTTGGGTTCCATCAAAGTCACTCCCACTTTGATTAGCCATTCGAGCTTGTAAAACCTCATAAACTACATGAAAAGTAGATTATAATGAGAAAACTAAGATAGGCAAATTGTCAAATATGAAAACTAAAGCATAATTAGAAGGAAGAAATGATATATTACCACTTTCAAACTCAGTTAGCTCTTCAAGATCCTCTTTATCATGAACCAATTGGGAATCAGGGAATCGTATCCAATCTTCGGCACATATTAATGCATCCACCATCTTCGGGGTCAAGGAGGACCTAAATGAGGATAGCACCCGACCTCCTGTGCTGAAAGCAGTCTCGGAGGCAACAGAAGAAATCGGAATGGCCAAAATATCCCGCACCATTTCAGAAAGCACGGGATATCTAATGCTGCTGACGGACCACCATTTAAGAATGTCAAAGCTATCATCCTCGTTATCGAAAAGAACAGCATCATTGACATCATTCAGATAGATGTCCAGCTCTGAAGAACTTCGAATACCCGCATCAAGCTCTTCTTTCCTCAACTTCTTGAACTCAAAAGTCATCTTCCCTCCCATCACAACACCACTACTCGAACTCCCACTGAGAGTTGTGGAGGTGGCACGAGTATTAGTCCCAACAGCATCCATAGAACTTGAGGGTGGAGACTGGAGTTTCTTCTTGTAATCTTCAAACAAGTCATTCATCTCTTGTTTGATATCCTTAGCCATTTGCTTCCCATTTTCTTGGCCATACATCTGCTTCAAGACAAATTCAACATAGGCCAACTTGCGCCTCGGATCTAACACACATGCAATGTAGATCACACGGTTCATCCTAATATTCTCCTTATTATCTGCCTCATACCAATACTTTGCAACCTTCGCCTTAATTCTCACTGCCATTCGTTGTATCTCGACATCTTCATCTTGCTCCAATGTGCATATGACCTCATAAATATCTGCAAGATACTTGAAGAATAGATGCACAGTCACATATGATGACCTCATAAATATCTCCAAATGGGTAGCCATCAACCAGTATCGCTCTGAAGACATTCCAACATTCAGCTTTCCTCTTCTTTGCTGCTGCATCATTTGCACTCCCCGTTGCATCTCCCCCAGCTTCCACATTTGCATTCTTGACTCCAGCCGGCGCTGCTACATTATCTCTTCCAATACCTTCTACATTCTCAGCTGCAGCCGCCACATTTGGAGTAACTCCTCCGGCTGTAGTAGCTCCGGTAGAAGGAGTAGCAGGTTGCGAAGGAACCCGCGGATAAGCTGCCGGAGGAAGAGCACCTCTTGCTCCTTGTTCTCCTCTTCCACGACCACGACCACGTGGTTTCTTACCACGTCCACCTCTATCCCTGTTTTAATCAATAAAAACATGTAAATAGAACAATTAGCATCATGTAACATCAACAATTAGCAAACCAAATCCCTACTAACTACCAATCACCAAACCAAATCCCTACTAAGTTATCACTAGTTTTTTGCCTTTATGAAGCTTGGAATGTTTACTTGACCATGTGAAACTTTAGAACACTTCGGCAAAAAGAATCTTTAGTAAAAGGGGAGAAAGCAGAGAACAAAAAACGATTCTTTGTGCTCATGTTTCCTCAAAATCACAAGCAAAAAAATCAATTTTCATTTGCTTTACGGTGCATTAGAGCAAGTAAAGAGAAAAAGAAAACAAGAATAATCCAAAAATGAGAATCTTTTTGCTCGTTCCATTAAAAGAGAGAAAAGCTCCCCTTCTCTTCTCGTTCCATTGTTGTAAATTCTCCCTATGAACTAGCATTGTGCCTGTCCTTGGATTTGAGTACTGTTTGCATATATATTATATGATTCATAATGATAATAAGTATTATCAATAACCCGCCAATATACTACAAGTGATCATTTTTGGGTCGATTTCATAACTCATCTTACTAACAAAGGTAATAGTAAACCACATTGAAATCAAACTAATCCACATTCAGAATCATCCAATCCAACAACACACAATGCATCATCCATCCCTCTTCAATTTTGTCAATGTAAAACTTCTCCCCTTATCACTAGTTTTTTGAGGAAACACGAGCACAAAGAATGGTTTACATAAATATTCACTAATTAACCCAATTGGTTTACATTAAACCTCAATCAAGTGCAAGGGAGACCTATATGGTTTACATTAAACCTCAAAAAAACCTAGACCCAATTCACTACTAATGTTTTTGTTCTGTTGGAGACTTACATTGGTGATGGTGAATCGGTGATAGAACAGCAGAAGACGGCGGGAGAACAGGGCAGAAGACGGTGGGATTCCGGGGCAGAAGACGGCAGCGTCGGCAGGAGTCGAGTTCTGGGAGGGAGTTCGGCGACGACGACTTCTGTTGGAGGACAGCGGCGACGCGAAGGCTGGGAGCGGCGGGAGGGCGGCGATGCGACGCGACGAAGGCTGGGAGCGAGAGGATGGAGGAAGGCGCTGCGACGGCCGATGGCCGACGAGCTCGACGGGGACGAGGCGACTGGCGGCGGCCGACGAGGGGAGGGGCTAGGGTTCAGAAATGGGGAGGAGCGGCGGGTGTGAGAGGGGACTGGGGAGAGGCACGATTTTGCGATTTAGGATTTTAGGTCATTGTCATTTAGGTTAGGGCAGGGGAGGAGGGAAGGAGAGGCTGTCTGTCTGGGTCGTCGGTTTCGTCGGTTTTGTGCGGTTAATTTGTGCGGTTGCGGTTTTTAACCGCTAACCGCGACAATTGCCCACTGGCCAGTGACATCCTACCGCAACCGCAAACCGCACTCAACCAACGGTTTTCGGTTGGTCAATAAACTGACGGTTTCGATTCAGTTTCGGTGGTAACCGACAAACCGGAGACCGATTAACAGCCCTATGCCCATAGTAGCTCTTGTGCCGAAAATTGGGAGAGGAAAAGACTTAGAAGTCCTTTCTTGCTTTGCGAGGAAGGTTGGAAAAACGAGATGAAGTAGATCCTGAGGCAGAACCTACTTATATAAGCTGAATGGCTAAACACCGCCCTAATTTTACTATTATCGCCCTAACTTAATCCGTAAAATTACTGAATTATCCTTCATTATTCAAATCAAATTTGATAAAAACAAACAATCCCTAAATCCATAATCTTCCTTCATCTCCAAATAATCACCGCCGATCACCATCACCCAGCCACCACTGTCGTCGATCGGTCAATCGGTGCTCGCCATCTCGCAATTACGAACTGGAGTTTTGCGGCTGCTAGCGACGGGAGTGGTGGCTGATGGACAAAGATCAATTGCGGCTGCTGGCGACGGGAATCAACCGGCGTTGGAGGCGGTTAATCAATTTTTTGGATTAATTGTTGTTACTGAATCGAGAACCCAACCACCACTAATCTATTTTCAACTCGTTAGGCTTCCAATTTTGGGAAGAACACCATTATGAAAATAGATAAATTTTGCAGCCGCTTGCGACGGGAATCAGCCTGCGGTGGAGCCGTGGAGGCGGTTGATCAATTTTTTTGGATTAATTGAGATTATCATAATAAAATATTCTTAACAATAAAAAAGAGAAGGATAATGTGGTAATCTCACTTTTTAAATTAGGGCGATCATATAAAATGTAGGGCGATAATTAGCAATCCCCATATAAACACCTCGGAATAGCTGGGATATGAACGAAAAATATCAAATTCAGGCCCAACCCAGTAGAGTAGTCGAATTTCGATACTGGACTTCGGCCCATTCTCACCAAGCAAACTGCTCGCATTTGCATAAAAAATCTGACGCGACCAGGTCCGACCCGATTCGAGTTACCGCCCCGTTCCCGTGTCTTCTCCTTCAATTCCAAGCGCGTCCCCAGCTTATAATCTTTCCCGGCTCACCCTTTTCTAGGGTTTCGATCATCTTTCTCCCGTCCCGCGTCGTAAAGGTACCGTTCCCCGTTTCCCGCTATATTCTGTCGATTGTTTCGTTGCTATGAGAACGTTTGAGCAATCCGCCTAGTATTCGAATCTTGCTATTCGATTTTCATCATTAGTCCTTGTATTCCTGGTTGCCGAATGTTTCACTTCATTGTAGCGCGTCGCATCCATTAAGAACTTTCATGAGTCTGTTTGCTTTGAGGATTGATGTCTTTTCTGTAGAATGGTGCCTTCTTTGATAGCGTTTGATCTTTCGAAGCTGTTAATTCTATCAATTTGATTCTAGCTTCTAGCGTCGAATCTACTCCTCTCTAGTTTTGGATTCATCTTGCTTATTGTCGAATTTCATTTCTTAATTTGTTCTGTTTTTGGCTGCCAATTCAGTGACTTTGGAATGAAGAAGAAGAAGCAACAGATTGATGTCGAGGGTACTGAACCCGAGATGGATCTTAAGTCCCTAATTCACCAGCATTCTCAATTCTTCGACAAGTTGATCGAGCTAATCCCGGCCAAGTTCTACTTGTCTAAGGATGAAGATAAGCCATGGTTTCAAGGGCTAAGCAAGGCTAAAAGGGATGCAGCCAAGAAGGAATCGAGGGAAAACATCAAGAAGGCTAGGAGAGATCGGTTAGACCCCGACAAGGCTAATGTAACCACCCTTGATTTGCTCAAGCAAAATTTGGAGAAGGAGAAACAGAAGGAAGAAAGTGACGACGATGAGGAGGAGGATGAGGAGGAGGAGGAAGAAGAAGAAGAAGATGATGAGGAAGAAGTGGAGATCAACCCTGTGATATCTGGTTTGAAAAATGATACTAGGTCAGCAACGTATGAGGATCTCCGTGAACGTTATGTGAGGAAGCTGAAAGAGCTCAGAGGCGAGCGGGAGGCTAATCCCAATTCAAGAAGACAGCAAAAAAGGGAGGAAAGACAGGAGTATAGGAGCAAACGCAAGAGAGAGCATGGCTCTGGAGGGAAGAATGCTGTAGCAACCAAGATTGATATAGCCAAAAATGTTGAGAAGGAGGCGGAAGAAGCTACAAAGGAGCTGAGATTCAGCCACGTGAAGATAGGGGACGACGACGATCACAGGATGAAGAAGAAGAGGAAGCTCTCGAAGCAGCGTGAGCTCGAGAAGGCGAAAGAGCTGCAGGAGGCAAAGGCAGACCCCGAGAAAGGCACGAAGGAATTTTGGAGAGCCGCTACAAGCAAAGCAGCAGGGGTGAAGGTCCACGACGATCCCAAACTGTTGAAGCAGAGCATAAAGAAGGAGAAGGAAGAGGCAGCAAAAGAACGCTGAGAAGTGGAAGGAGAGGGTAGAGAGCCAGCACAAAGTGAAGGCAGGGAAGCAGGAGAAGCGATCGCAGAACATAGCGGGGAGGATTCAGGAGAAGAAGATGAGGAAGATCGCCAAGCGCGAGAAGAAGCTAATGCGGCCTGGGTTTGAAGGCCGTAAGGAAGGTTACATCAATGAAACCACTTCAACTTAGACGGGGTAGCTCTGAAGGTAGGTTCTTTTTAGCTCTTTGGAAGCACAATCTATTTCAGTTTCTCCGCCTCTCCTTTTCATGTGTTGTTTCTGGGTAGAATGAGAGAATGTGATGTAGGAGCTGGTAGACAGTTATTTTTCTGTAGGGGACCGTCTACAAAAGAAAAAGGAATATGTTGTATACCCACTGATCTCTGCTTCATATGGTTGTCGAATTTGTTGTTCGTCTTTTAGCTGTAGAAGTAATTAAGCCTGATGGACCGTTGCTGCATTGATGTCGTTGGACTGTTCATTCGGGGAATTTAAGGTTTAGCTTTGCAAATATACGGGGTTTTGCCATTTTGGTTCATCGTGGTAGGATTGCGTCATCCATCCCAGTTCATCCTTAGTCATTCACATGTTCTCCTCAAAGGTGGGAGTCAACTGCCAAACTGAATCAACCAAATTAGGACTTGGTGGCTATAGGCAGTGGATATTCGTGGCTAATTACTTTCTTTGATTAGGGCTGAAATTGATGATTTTACAATAAGATTATGCGTCGAGTGTTGGTCTCAATATGTCGTTTATAATTAGACTGCAGTTTTCATGAATTTGACCTATCAAATGGTCTAATTCTTAATTTTAGGATGACTTTGATTACACCAAACTCATGATCTAATTATAAAAGATATTTTAGGATAAGGGTGAATAATTCAGTTTGGTCTGTATCTATGAAAGGTCAAAAACCGCACCAATTTACTATCAATGGTTAATCTGAAATCTATGAAGGTCAAAACCGCACGAATTTACTACGACAAAGAACTAGACACGAGACGGTAGACAATCATAATAAGCATTGATGGAAAAGTTCCAATAATGTAAAGAGTATTCCTATAGTTACTGCTCAACAAACAGTAGGGTTAAGACTTGGGTAAACCATACATCATTAGTCATTACACATTACTAACCGATAATACAAAGCAGAACGGAATCCCAATTACAACAACAGATGAACATCCACCCTAGTCCCCTTACATACACTTTTTTATAAAAAAAAAACAAAAAAAAACACAAACCAGCACATAGAGATAGATCTTGATGTTGGCGTGTCACTAAAGATTATCATACAAAGCTCTCAAACCCTCGCACCGGTCACACCGGCGCCGGTACCCTTGGGCATCTCGGCTCCAGCTCCGACGCCGTAATCGGGGTCCCTGTACCCCGGCCCGTACTTGCTGCTGAACATCCCGGCATGGAGCAACATCACGTACAGACCCTGAGTGACCCCGAGGATTATGACGAACGCCTCCAGCACCCGCAGCCGCCACCCTCTGTGCCCTCCTATGTTGATCTGCTTGCACGCCAACCCGAACGCCAGCATCGTGACCGCCCACGCGAGGATCGCGGTGGAAGCAGCGGCGGCCAGGCTGTCGTTCCTCCATGTCCTGATGTGGTTCCCGCCCAAGAGCTTGGACACTATCCCGAGCACCGCGGCCAGGATCGAGAACGTCAGGAAGAACCCCGTCGCCCCGTTCCCACCGAAGCCTGCAGTCACATGGTCAAGAAGAGGAGAAGAAAATTAAAGCTTTCTTAGATTAAAAAAAAAAAACAGAGAGGGAAAGATAGAAACAGGGGAATGAAAACAGAGTGTGTGTGTGTGGTTTGCTTACTTGGATGGTAGGTCTGGCCGTTGATGTACCGATTCAAGCACCAACTGGCGAAACCCAACACGATTGCGTACATAACCAAGTTGAGAAACATCAATGGAGCTGCTACGTTTCTCCCAACCGTCGATTGCGCCATTTCTTCTTCCTTGCTTTCTTTTCCCCTTCTCCTTTTCTGACTTTGATGACCGAAAAACAACGTGACAAAAGGGACCGATATATGCTATAGCTTTGTCTGGATAAACTTTGGGCTTCTTTTAGATGGATGAGTTCGTGATTCTGGACAAGGAGCTGGGGGAGGACATTATATAGAGAGACAGGTGCATAGCCATGGAAGCCTAGGGATGGGACACGTGGAAGCAAAGGAGGGAGTGCATGGTTGTGTTTTGTTTACAGGTGGTGGGACACGTGGCGAGTTCTTGGAGAAGGGGCTCTTTGTTAAAGAGGGTTTGAGATGGAATCTCGAAGTTCCATGGGTTTGTTGCTCGAAACGGTGGCAATGGTGGTCGACCGTTTTTTTTTCTTCTTTTCAAAATACACGCCATAATTTTCACAGTTTATCGCATATCTAAGCACAACTTTTGAAATACATGAAATAGCTGGAATGAAATAGCCGGAATTTTGATAGTTGTTTGATAAATCTAGTCATTTCCGTTACAAATTTTAACGGTATTAGAGATTCCATTAGTTAGTTTAACAACATGCTGACTAGGATGCCAAATTGACGTACACGTCAGCGACAACTTAGGCTCACTTGCCACGTCATAATTTAGCTAAAAAATATTTTAGGCAAAATATACTTTCATAGCCACAACTCTCACGTGTGTGCCAGTTATAGCCACAACTTTGCCTTTGTGACAGTTATAGCCACAAGTTTCACGTTTGTGACAGTTATAGTCACAACTTTTGAAATACAAGAAAAATTCAGAATTTTGATGGGTTTTTTTTTTTTACAAATCTAGCCATTTTTCGTTACAAACTTTCGAAATACACAAATTGTTCTCGATTTCTTCTCGGATCTGTTTGAGAGGGAATGCAACGAATCGGGCTAATTAACAACGATGAATCGAGCTTCACTGGAAACAATAACAACTACACCCGCAACGATTTCGAGGAATTGGAGGGGAAAATGCATTGCGAGCCGCCACATCCTTCCTTCTCGACCCATCGTTCTCTGTTTCCATTGGAGACACTGTCTCATCTTCTACCGCAGTCGCCGATGCCTTCTTCTTCGCGATCGTCGTCATCTTCTTCCCAACAGCCTTCTTGCCCTCTTTCTCGTCGTTTTTCTGTACTCTGACAAGAGTCCGAGGCCTTCTCCTTCAATCTAGCAATTGAGGATCTGAATAGACAATTTGGAAAATAAGGCCTCATTCTCCAGTCATATTGTTAAGTGACACCGTTAAAGGGATGGACGGAAGTGGATATTTTTTTGTATTTCAAAAGTTGTGGTAATAAGTAATAACTGTCACAGACGTGAAAGTTGTGGCTATAACTGTCAGAAACATGAAAGTTGTGACTATAACTATTACAAACGTGAAAGTTGTGGCTATGAAAGTGTATTTTGCTTTTTCTTTGTTAATCCACGTGGATCGCCAACTCAGCATTTTCGTTAGTCCGGTCATACTATTAAGTGCCACCGTTAAGGGGATGGACGGAAGTGACTATTTTGTGTATTTCGAAAGTTGTGACTATATCTGTCACAAACGTGAAAATTTTGACTATGTATGTGTATTTTGCCTTTCTTTTACTTCTTCCATTGCCAAAGTGTTCTTTTTATCACCACCCATCCTTTATGTAGAGTGAGAACGGCAACATGAACTCATCTGTTATGACCAACGGCAGATCCAGAACACATTAGAGCACTGGGTCGCATTTCATTAGAAAATTAGATGCCTTAAAAGAATATAATGATTATAATTAGATTTTACAATGTCAATACACGACAGACTTTTAATTTAGCGAATGCATCAATAATGGAGTCTATATCCATACCAATAGTATACTCTATTTCAAATAAAATACTTGAACAATCAACGAGAAATTCATTGCTCATTTTGTTGTGCAAATCAATTTTCACATATTTCATTGTTGAAAAGGTTCTCTCCGTAGTAGCTGTCTAATATTTTTTTCAGTCTTTTACGCTTTAGAATTTTAGATTTCATTATTTTTTTAGATGAAAAAATTTGTGAGCTTGAATTTTTAGACTAAATTTAAAGTAATGAGTTGATTATGTTCATTTTAATAACTTTTTTAGTTATACATAATCATATTACAAAATAATATTGGACCGAGCATAAATATAAGTTATTTACTTATTTTCAATGTAAATAAATATATTTTATGATATTTTGGAGGGAATTTAATTAAAATCGAGTAGAGCTGTCAAAATGTAACCCGATCTGAGTAACCCGCCCGATCAACCCGACCTGTAACCCGCCCGCAACCCGATTTGACTAAAAGTCAATGACCCGTAACCTGCCTGACCCGCAACCCGATCGACCCGGAACCCGACCAACTCGCAACCCGATCGACCCACAACCCGACCAACTCGCAACCCGACTAACCCGAACCCGTAACCCGACCAACCCGCAACCCGACTATAATAGAAGGAATTCGATGAAGATAAACAAAAAATTGACATTTGAAATTCTGGTTCACTAAAGTCTGATCATTACATCATCAATTATTCAAGGATTCACAAAAATCTGATCATTACATCATCAATTATTCAGGTTGTGCAATATATACAAGGATTCACAAAAGAAGACAACAACTATAAGTTGTTGCTTTATAGAAAGAAAATAGAGAAAAGCAGGAAATGAGAGGGAGCAGATTTTGAACAACGAAAGGGACATTGAGTCTTCAGTATCATCAAGACGACGTTTCAACAAGTCTGTTTTCCTTTACCCGCAACGTCGTCGCTCCACTTGAGTTGTGTACGTACTAGCCGTTGGAGCTTGAATTTGGGAATTTGCAGCTGGTGAAAAATGGGATTTTTCCCTGTTACGGCTTACAGCGAGAACCAATTTCACGGACCAAAGCACATGATAATCCAATGTGGCAGAAGCGTGGCAGCGATGATGGTAATATTTGAAAAGATCGAGATCCATGGGAGAAGAACATTTCTTTTGATAGGGGTCATGAGCTCTAATTGTATAGTGTATTCGAAAAGATCGAGATCCATGGGAGAAGAACAAGATAAATCAATTCCTTCTGATAGTGATGAGACAAGATCCCCTTCAGAAAATGAAATATATGATTCGGATGAGACCCAAAATCGGTCGCAAGAAATGGGCGCAGGGCATACATTTGTACCAGAATCTGAGTATGAGATCGAGGTTCCAAAAGGTATATTTATTTAAATGGTCAATAAAGAATATGTTTAGTGATTGAATGAAGCAGTGTGGATCAATGGTCGTTTAAATAATAATGTTCATATGTATGTTCTATTACAGTGAAGAAAAGGAGAGGCAAGACAACATGCAACGCTGTTGAACTTACAACAATAAAGGGGAATAAAATTGAGGTGGACATCTCAAGTGATGGTAAACCCATTGGTAGGAACGCGAGGAAATTTGTAAATTATTGTGGACTCGTAGTAAGAAGCAATACGAAGTTGAGCATCAAGACATTGAGTAAGATAGACGAAGCTGAGATTGATAAATTGTTTTGAATTGGTGGAGGTAAATTTATCTTTTATCTTTTATCTTTTATCTTTTATCATTTTCATTTCCATTTTTGTGTTTACAAACTCTCCACAATGCATGCTTTTTGTTTTTGTATGTAGAGAAAATTCACTAGTAGTGACAAACAAGCTCTAAGAGATCTTATGTGGATCAAAATGAGCTCAGCACATTCAATTTGGTAATATCGTGAGCGTGAAAAGTTCCTTGCACTTGCCGGTAACCAAAGGAGTGGCTATGTTCCTAAAGGTGTTGATGTTGATGACTGGGCAAAAATTGTTCAATATTGGGCTTCTACTGGACTTCAAAGTAAGTGTGTACATATTTACTTTCAATGCTGTCAAAATTAAAATTATTTATTGATCTTTGATTATTATTAACATATGTGGTAGGAAACGAGTAAGAGGAATAAACAAAATAGAGGAAAGGTGCAAGGAAAAAATACATGTAGGTCAAGAACACATGAAGAAGTGGAAGAAAATACAGTAATGAGTTTGCTACATATACCTAATTGTTTTGGTAATTAATAATCTAATATTAGGATAATATAATTTCTATTCAATTTTATTTTTTTACCCAGTGTTCTTAAAATATAAATTTAATCACTTGACTTCAAATTTTAGAGAGATCCATTGACTGGAAAGAAGAAGTCTCATGACGAGGGTTTCTATGCTCAACATACCAAGAAGGGCAAAGAAGGAGAGACATTGTGGTTTGACCCTAGAGCAAAAGCAATATACGTACGGTTACCTCTTATATAATTTTGTTTTCATCATTGTATCAAAGTATACAAGTTCAAATTCTTGTGTATATAATTATTATGTAGTGATCGATAATGAAGAGAGTACTAAAAATATTTTATTTTGCAGGAAAAAATAAAAGAGCTGGTTCAAACATGATCTAAATTGTCCTACAAAGCGACAAATCTTCTTGCCTCAGGAAAGCCACATTCTAAAAGTAGAAAGAGGGCCATAAGAGGTGGGATTGATAAGGCTACATTGAGGGCTGAGATAGAAGCAAAGGTACATCAACATTTTGAAGCCAAGTTAGCAGAAGAAAAGAAGAAATTTGAGGAGAAAATAGCACACCTACAAGCAAAACATGATGAAGAGAAGAGAGAAATGTGTTCTTGACCTATAAACTTCAACCAATTACTATTTTTTTATATCATATTTAGTTTAAATCATTGTTGAGATTGTGGTTAAAGAATTTTTTTCTCTATTTTTGGTTAAAGATTGTCACTAATATTAGTTTTGCGCCACATTATTCCAGTACAAAAAGTTTTAGTCACAATTGGGATTTTTTTTAGTGTAGTTTTAGTCACCAAAAGAGGTATACGTGACCAAATATATGTAGTAAACAATATACATTTATGTTGAGTCAAATCGTCACAATTGTTAAATTTCATGAAGACACTACTTGTCACAAAACAACTTTTCGGAATCGCTGTTGTTGCTGATTTGCAGTTTGCGAAACTTGATTTTCGGTGCTAAGGGATCATTCCGGTTTCTAATATATTGTAGAGTACTTTGAAAATGGAATGAA